TTTCTGACTGTTCCGTGTAAATATCTGTATCTTCTTCTACCTCCTGTCAACATTTACTTGCTTTCAAAAGTTACCAGCATGAATTGGGAACACTTGTTCATTTATGCACCCTACTGTATGTTGGGGGACATTTGTACCCTCTAACGCACTATTTCTAGTACTCTTTGTTTTATATAAGAGATATCTTTCCTAATCCTTGGGTCAATAGATGTTATACAACTCACAAGCCAAATGAACAAAGTAATCATCTTCCCCGAATTACATCCTTGGTAGATCAAAGAGAAACAGGAAACTCCTCACTGACCTTTTTTGCCATGTTCCCAGGAAAGCCTGACATTTACTGTCCTGCTGAAGTCCACCACTACTCTCTCTACTACATTTCCGAAAAACAAAAGATTTTACTTATATTTCCCCTACTTTTAGATTTTTGCTTTCTTTAAACTTGACACCAAATTCTGCTGTTTCAAGAAATGAAACCAATGGGAAGGAGAAGCTGTATGTGTGAAAAATTTAAATACTTCAAATAAATTTGTAACACAAGAAAATTTATTTTATTCTTTATCCGGAATAAACTTAGGAAAAATATTCTAAATCTCACCAAAGAACCAGTTGTGTATATTTCTATTTATTTCTTCATTGTATTTATTCATCATGGAATTCATTGATTGAATCATCATATTGCTTTAAGGAACGTGTGAAGTTTATATGCAGACAAATATACATTTCTTCAAGGTTTAGACCTGTAAATCTAACAAGCAAGAAAATCTATATTATTATTTATTTTGGCACATAGGTATTTCAAAAATTAACCTACTGTTCCTTTAACATTCTATTAATTCTAGAAAGAGGTACACGGATGACACATGGCTATAGAGGCAATTAGACACTACCATAAGACAGAAACTCTTCCTGAAAATAACACAAATCACAAGGCAGGGTCAAGGAGCATCTGTTACAAAGGGGCAGGAAACCTGGTCCCAGGGAGCTTTTTTGCAGACATGTTTCCCAGGACACAATTTTTGAGATGGAAAGTAATTGGTGGGACATATATTAGGGAATGATTTTGGGTTGAAAAAATAGGAAAGGAAGGGAAGGGAAGGGGAAGGAAAGGAAAGGGAAGGGAAGGGAAGGGAAGGGAAGGGAAGGGAAGGGAAGGGAAGGGAAGGGAAGGGAAGGGAAGGGAAGGGAAGGGAAGGGAAGGAAAATAGTCATAGGAAGCTCTCTGAAGGCCTCTGCCGATCCTGCAGACAGCTCTGAGGTGAAAGATTCTTCAGTCTTTCCCAACTCAGGATAGATTTCTGGCCTTTGATGGTCTAGAAAGTCCATACATGGGATTTCCACAACCTTAGGGAGGGACATAACCTCAGTAAAGTCAGTTTTTAACTCAGAAAACTCATGAAAGGAATTGGGACTAAGAACTCTATCTGTGAAACACCATGTGGCAAAGGAAGTTAGACTTCCTCTCATCCTGCAGGCTGGATGGGCTCACAATAGCACCGCAGAAAGTAACATGTAGTGTACGCACTGATCCTTAGGTAGAGCTGTGCAGGCTAGGGGGAGAAGCAGGTAGATGGGCAGAAGGTGCATCTAGGTCTGCCACTCATGTGTGAAGTTCAGGATCACTTATTTCCTCAAGCAGTAGAGAGTAACCAAAAGGTTTTTAGCAGGGAAGAAAAAGGCTAACATTTGTGTTTTAAAAATATCTGTGCAGTAAAACTGTAGATTGAAGACATGAGACCAGAGAGCAAAGAAGTAGTTATTATATAGTTCACACAAATTCTACAGATGATCGGTGTGCAGTATATATGCACACTCACTATATTCTTAAATCTTTTCTAAATACTTCTAGGTATATTAAGGTACAATGAAACCCAAAGATTTTTCTGTTTTCATTTATTGAGATGTTAATTTGATGTAGGGGTTGATACGTTTTTGTTGAAACTTGACCATACTTGCATTATGTACTATCTGCAACTGCTTCAGGTAACAACAAATTTCAGTAGTTCCTACACAGGCAGCATGACTTAAAAGACAGAAAACATTTACTATTCCATCTTTTACAGCAAACGATTCCATGTTTTCCTCTAATGTCTATGTTTTACAGATATCGGAGTTTGGTTGACTTTTCACGAGTTTGCTGGTTTCTGAGAGTATCATTTTAGGGATGATAGGAGGAACTCTCTTAAAGCATTCTTTATCCCACACTGTGGTCTTCGGTCTACTATACTCAAGCATTTTATCTAGGATAAGCCTTCTAATTAACCATTGCTATGATTGCTTTAAACATTTTACAATATAAAAGCATGGACTAGTATTGTACATTTACTGACAGGTGAACCATTTTCACTATTTAACTTCTTCACATGAGTTTTAATGTGGTGACTTTTCCCTGAAGGTGAAAACTTTCTTATTATACACACACAAGGGTGACAAATTCCCTCAGCTTTTGTCTTACAAACTTCTATGTTACTTTCACTTTTACAGGGTGTTTTTGCTAGATATAGAATTCTCTTCTGAAGTCTTTATTTTTCATTCTTTTTTCTGCATCAGTATACGTGGTTGTTGCTTGTGCTGATTCTACTGAGAAGTTATTGCTGATTATAATACAGACTTTCTCTTTAACACTGTTTTCCAAAAATGGATTATGTAGTGAGTTGGTGCATTTTTCTTTGTATTTATCTGGGCTAAAACTCAAACAAATTTTCAGATATTTGAGTTTATAAATTTTAACCACTATTTCTTATGTATAAATGTATAAAATATGTGACTATATATAAATACTATATATACTTTATATATCTATCCAACCCTTGCATATTATGTATATTCTGTCTTAAGTCTAGCATCCTTGGTTTTAATACTCAATTTACATGATGGGTTGTTAAGAATGTTTCATCCATGAGTTACTGTATATTCATTTGTTGAGTCCTTTTCGCTTGCTGAGGCCTCTATGGCTCATGGCTTAGATGATCTCTATTGCTTATGTTCTGACACAATAATGTTTTTCTTCCCCTCAGGGCCTATGTTGTTCTGCAGAGTATGATTATAGAAAATATCTTTAAAAAATCAATTTATGAAGTAAAAGGCCACTTTCAGCTCATACTTTTACTATTTCAGTGCCTGATTTATTGGCCTTTTTTGTTTTAGACATGGGGCAGTGCATCATAGCAGGATAATGTAATAGCATAAAGCTACTCACTTCATGGCCACCAGAGAGGCAGAGAAGAACACAAAGTGGCTGGGGTGCACCATCCCCTCTAATGATGAACGGGAGACATCATGATGAGCCTTAACTCTGCATGCTGACTGTAACCTCCCATTAGTGTCAAGGCTGAGGACAGACATCCAACACATGAGCATTTATGGGACAGGTTGGACCAAACTACGCAGCATGTAATGTCCTAAGCCTGCTCAGGGTCTTCTCATATCATTTATTTTCTCCTGATTCAGATTCCTGCTCTTCCATTGTTCAACACCTGAAAACATGCATTTCATGTGTGAGTGAGTTCATTTTGTATTTACTTTGGCAATTATTCCATTATAACTGGAAGTAAAACCAAGCCATAATCGTCTCAGTGACTTTATCATCACTGGGCCACAACCAAAAGGATGAGAGGTTTACTTTTGCTCACATGTCCATTCACAATTTGTAACTGTAATGGGATGACAGAAGAGTTTATTAGAGAAGAAGGTGCCAAACCCATGACAGCCATGCAACAGAGAGACAGGGGGGACCCAGGTACAGGAATACACTCTTCCAGGTTACATCCCCAGTGGCCTTCCTCCAACCAGGTCCCGCCTCCTAAAATCACAGTGACTTCTGAATTGTCAATGAAAACCATTGGATGAGCATAATACTCATCTTCTACAGGTAGGAGAGTTTGGGGATCACTTTAGATCTAAACATAACACACATAGACATTAAATAAATAAGGTATCGAAGATGACTGACAGAATGATATTTGAGAGTCTTAAAAGAATAAATTATGTTGCCAGTCTTTAAATTCCTTATTTTAAAATATGGAACATATATATTAATAAACTTTATACTGGATACTTTTTCTATCCAGTATAAACATTTATGCAGTTAAATACTTTTTCTATCATTTCTCCTCATTGGCACTAAACATACCTCAAAATTTTAATAGCCCTGGGCACTGAACTTTATGTCATATTTTGCCACTTCTTAGTCTATAGCAACTGTTAAATATACTAAAAGGTAAGTATTTTTACTTCTTTATATTCAGTTATAGTTAAATATTACTAAAAATAAGTCTTTTTGCTCTATCGTAATACCATTTGTCTAGTATTTGTATGTTCTTACTATTTGCCAGTCAAATACAAAATTTTGCCAAAAGATGTTTATGTTTGTTTAGTAATTTAAATTATATTTCTAGGACTATCTTGATTCGATGAAATGACCTGTATCTCTGCACTGATACATTCTGCCTGATTTCCTACATATCTTACCTCTCATGAATCTAAGAGTTTGATGTAAGATTACACTTAATTTTAAGAGCTATTGTACTAAAATGTTTGAACTTTGAAATTTTTAAGGTGAAGTACATTTGAGAATTGTGTATACTTGACTTTTCTTTCCTTTATAATTTCTTAAAAGACAAAACCTCACAGGAAGCAAAAAGATTTAGATACTTACATATTTTTCTAGTGATTTTAGCTAAAGAGTTCATGGTAAATTGATCAACCCTCAGCCAATTAGACTTTGACTTATACTAATAAGATCTAATTGAGGAATTATGGAGACATTTGCTCAGGAGAAAATGAGCACATAATTATACCATAAAGAGGTTAAAGAATCAGTGTTACCTGGATGGAAAAATATTAGTTGAAGTCCCAGTGGCTTCTGTAAAGGACACTTCATGATACAGCTGTGAAATACTGCACTGATGAGATTAATTAAAATATGCAAAATAATCCATTTTAAACTTAGCGTTTAACTTACACATTCCTTTCTTCCCTCTTGCCTGTGCCCTCTTCAGGTGCTGGGGGTTGGTCCCCATCAGACAGTGACCATTATCAGTGGCTTCAGGTAGACTTTGGTAATCGGAAGCAGATCAGCGCCATTGGAACCCAAGGGAGATACAGTAGCTCAGACTGGGTGACACAGTACCGCATGCTGTACAGTGATACGGGGAGGAATTGGAAACCCTACCACCAGGATGGGAATATCTGGGTAAGTCACAAATCAGAAGCAAAATGATACGGAATTGAACTCCAAATAGAGACTCATCTGTCAAAATATTACCGTCCCTTATCATCTGAGTTATATGTAGCTGTCAATAATATGGAAACCATTGAAAAATCATTCCTGTTTATTTTTTTGAGGAATTTTTTCTTAGGCTGCAATTTCTACTCAGTAGGGAAATTGGTCTCAACTTTGGTTATGTGTTTACTACCAAAAAGAAATTTTAAAGTATACACATTCTAGTCACACTGAGTTAAACAAGAATAAGTTAAATAAGAATCATGTCAATAGATAATATGGTTGATGATACTGATGGTTTTGTTGAAGAATGATATTTTTTAATATAATAAAATGTTAAATTATAAGGAAAATAGGGACAGTGAACTGTTGATAGAAAATAATATTGTCATATTATAATGACATTTTAAAAACATTTTATAGATGTATATTTACCTGTTATTATTTTACCATCAGAGAAGAAATCAAAATTTTATCCACATAGTGTCAAAATGTCACAATTAAATTGGAGAGTTAAATATTCAATCCACTATTAAGTTCATTTGAATACATTACTTAATGTTAAATCTTAAGGCATCTGTTCTAGTTTAACTATTTTAAAAAATAGAAGAAGGAAGAAGAGTAGAAGGAGGAGGAAAAAAGGGAGGGGAGGAATGGAAAAAACAGGAGGGGAAATGATTGATTTTTAGATTCTGCACAGAGTATTAGGCAGAGTATTACATATTTTCAGCTAGGTCACTTTTGTGAGTTTATATTTTAAAAGCCCTTAAGTAATTTTCCTATTTCCAAAGTTTAGAAATTCTAGCTTGGGCATTCATTTCCACAGCAGTATCTAATGATAGAAGCTATCATGTGAAATAAGAATATAATGCCTGGATAATCAAGTGTTTCTCTCTAAGCAGTACTTAGAAATAACTCCTTTCATGACAAAATAGTGTATTAAGATTATTTGTACAGTGAATGTGTAATGCATAGGAAGCAAATAGCAGGGGAAGCATCTTTATATGGAAAGTCTTCATTTCATAATAGAGATAATTCAAAGCTCTTAACCTAGTTTATAGAAAAGTGATTCTTAACCCTGGATAGACAATAGACTCACCTACAGAGTTATAAAATACAGGGATGCTTGCATCCCGGCTCAGATTTGAATTTTATTGCTCTTTAATAAGGGGAGGATTGTGATTTTTAAAGCTCTCTGACTGATTTTAATGTACACCCTTCATTGAGGACATAGTTTATATTTGTTTCAGTCTGTGCTGGTGGTGGGATAAAGGCAGCTCATAGTGGAAAGTGTTGTGGAATACACTAGAGATGACTTTCCTTAAAGTTTGGGAGAGACAGAGACAGAGACAGAGACAGAGACAGAGACAGAGACAGAGATAGAGACAGAGACAAAAAGAGACAAAGAGACAGACCAGGTTACCCAAAAATATTACAGAGCGACCTGCAGCACACAAAGATTTGGTGACACACTCTTCTAGTGAAATAGTCATTATTTTCAAATTCCTGTAGCTTCTAACCCCAAATCGTATTAGTAGTTTATAAAACTATTTGAGAGGCTGCAAATTAGACCCCAAAGTGTACTTTACAGTGTCTGTTTTTAGTCTTCACCTCAGAAGTAAGAGACTGTTTAACTATTCTGCTCTCTGCTTTTGCTGAGACGGTAGCAAAGATGGCTACTAAGATGGTGGTATATTGGAAGTTTAATTTACTTTTCAGGTATAAGCAGGTAAAGATTGTCACACCATGTTGTGACTGAGTGAAGAGATCAAGGTTAATAAGTCTAAAGAGAGTAAATTGTGCTGGATCACTTGGGCTATTCTGGTAACATATAAAATGCCAAGGCTCTGTCAGAAAGAAAAGGTCATCCTGAAGTGAAAATATTACACATGGAAAGGGACGTTTCATCTACAAGCCAGAACTCTCACCATTCCAAATGATGACGAGGACTGTGTCTTTATTTTCTTCTGTCTGGTGTTCATTTTGTTTCTGTTTTAAAATCCTATGTTTCTCATTAAAATTAGTACACTATGAAATGAATCATTCTTTCTAGAAGAAACTATAGAGAGCTAACTATGAAATTTTGAAACTCAGAACAAATTTGTGATGCAATATAAATATTTCAAGATATATTTAAGTTCCAATGAGCTTGCCATGTAATGTCTTTGTTTTTACATCTATGAGAGAAATATTTTAATCTTTACTAACACAAAAAGTAACTTATTGCGTTGATGTATTTTAAAAGAGCTAAGAGTTGTTGACTTCTAAAAGGACTGGAATACTTTTAGAGCTTCTCCAATAACAAGCATTATGTCTTCATAAGTGCTTAAAATCCTCTATTCATATTGTCAACAAAAATAATTTTTAGGTTTAAATTTACTAAAATGAAGACTAGATTTCAGATTTTATTTAAGCTGTTATTCATAACATACGAATATATCTTAAAAGAAATTGTGACAGATAATATTGAATAACTTTTTGGACTATATCTTATAAGATGAAAAGTTTCAGGCAGTCAAAAGATATAAAGGAGGATGGAGCTTTAAGAGTGTTTTTCTACTCATTTGTAAAATGATTCATTATCCAAGAAGAATGGAAGACAATATAACTTCAGTCACTTCAATATTATTTTTATAACAAATGTCAATAGCTGTCATTTCCATAACTGTTGGGGAAATGAACGACATAAGTAATTTTATAACAATATTGCTAAATTTCCACATGGACACTGAATTATTTTTATCATATTATGTACTATATTCAAGTAAGCAAAGAAAAAGTCATATAGATGAGAATAAAACAAGGAAAAAATCACATAGGCGAAAATTGATATTTTAACAATATTTTACAGTTATGAATCTTATATTATGAAACTATATTTGCTCTTGAAAAGATTTCTCAAACATAGATTATCTGAATATTTGATGTTCAAAGATGTGAAAAGCTAAATGTGCCTTACTAGCCAAACTTTCTAATCTTGCTTGATAATACTGAGCGTAATACTATCTTGTATATACTTCATTGACTACGCCATTTTCTTCTACTTAGAATTTCCTTTTCCATATAAAAGAAAAGCGTATGCAAATTGGTAAAATTGGCCTTCCCAAATCATTGCATTTACATATTCCACAAGTTCTAATTTGCATATTTCTCTGCAGTGTTTTTTGGATTTCCTAAGTATAATCTGTTGAAGAGAGAGGAATTATTCTACAGAAGCATTGCTTATCAGAAATTCATTAAGTACTACATTAAAATGAATTCCAACAGATTTTGGCTAAGAGGTTGCTTTCAATTTTGCTTGGAGAATTCAATTACTGATGTTGGAATACAGTTATTTATAACTAAAATAGGAAATTGAGTATATACAGTGAATGACTTACTTATTCATAACTATTTTTTGGTTAATCTATACTAAAAATTCACCTGTACTGTAATATAGGACATAGTTCTCATTCTTTTTCTTTTCTCTTTTATGAGAAAAAGGGTTACAGATTCCTAATTTTTAAAAGGAGTTTTGATCTCTGTGGTTAATTGCATATAGGTATCAGACTGGAATTTGTTACTACTATATCTATACAGGGAATAGTCCTATCAGGCAGACAGGTTCAATCATTTTTAAATTATATAATTAGATATTTATGAATAAATAGGTATATGTATATTTGAACCTTTTTCAGAAATCTGGAAACAAATATACTATTTGCTTGATTAAATCCTTTAATTTTTGAATATCATATTAATGTCTAAAACACATTTGTTTGTTTATTTATTTATTTATTTGCTCATATGTGTGCTAAGCATTGAACCCTGGGCCTTCACACTGAGTTACACCCCCAGCCATTTCAATGCCCCATAGGTATATATTTATATAATAAAAGTTCCAAAATCACCCTTAGCTTACCCTACATTTAATTGTTTTTCAAATGAAAGTCAAAATACAGTTAGAAGATCTAAATATTTGTCTTGGTTCATATACATTTCTATTGTAAATTTGGAGACAAGACATGCTTCTCTGGGCCATAAAATTTCTGACCTGAATAGTGGGAATAATACCAAGTGAGAAATTTAACTGGAATTGTATAAGCAAATTTTGCAAGCTAGCATGATTTAGCAATACATATGCTATCAATCATAGAAGCATTTCTTTAAATAAATATAGTGCATCCTTCCAGTGAGAATGGTTGGTAATGATTATTTTCAGCCGTTTCCTCTTCTCTATCTTTTGCTGGCCTGGTTTACCTCTGTTAACTATTATGCATGAGTTAAAACATTTGACAACATTGTTAATGAAGGAAATGCCACTGAATAAATAGCCGGTAGACTATGCTCAAATCTTTGGCATCATTTCTGAATCAACCAATGGAAAAACAGTACAAATAGATCAGTAGACAAAGCACCATGGGCTGTTCCAGCGACTCACGGCTGGGAGGCCCAGCTCATGCCAAGTGCCATTGCTATGCTTGTAACCGATTATTTGTGCTCATAATGATGGCCCCGTGTGCAATGGGCTGTGTAAGGGGACACTGTTAAAAATGAATGAGTTATTCTGTCCCATCTTTTCAACCATTTGTTATAGCGTCTGCTCTAATTTTCCAAATCACTTAAAAATCTGTTCTGATTATAAATGTGAAATGTAAATGACTCTGTTTCTCAATTCAATAGTATACTTAAATTCTAAAAAAAAAAAAAAAAAAAAAAAAAGCAAAAGAAAGAAAAAAAAACCCTCTACTATTCATTTTCATAAGAATCTAAGGAAGGAACTATTCCTGCTTCTTGATCATCTTATCTTCCATTAGATAAATTCCATTTCACTTAGTAAACGTGTGCAACTCTTTCCACGAATGTATAGAAGTGAGCCTTGCTTGTTATGTGTGCATGATCACTGTTGCTGCAATCAGTTATTTGGAAAAAGAACCAGGCTGGCATATTCAAAACAATTTTACAGGTAGCTTATTGAGAAATGAAACACA